CAGTCCTCAATATCATATTCAATTGGCCACCAAAGAGAGTGCTTACTGACTTAGTCACTTAGGTCATTGGGCCGGTCAATACCATGCTAAGCAAGATTTACCCTGACACGTACAAAAACTCCCCCGCCAGCAGGAATGTCTCTTCCATCGTCTTTGCAGGAACCGTGCTTGGTCAACTTATTTTCGGTTATGTCAGTGATCATTGGTCGAGGAAGTGGGCTTTGATGGTCTCCACGGTGATCTTGATCATTTTCAGCGCGCTCTCTGCCGGCTCCTACGGAGCTCATGGTAGCCAAGCTGGTTTGTTCGCCGCTCTGACAGCGTATCGGTTCTTCCTAGGAATCGGAATAGGTGGGGAGTATCCTGCAGGCAGTGTAGCAGCAGCGGAAAGCACGGGCGAGCTGAAGAGCGGCCATCGCAATCGCTGGTTCATCATGTTCACGAACTTCCAGATTGACTTTGGATTCGTCGTCTCTTCTCTGGTTGCCATGATCTTGATGTTGATATTTACCGAGAACCACATGCGTGCTGCTTGGCGTGTGGCTCTAGGACTAGGCGTCATTCCGCCTCTGAGTCTGTTCTACTTGCGACTGAAGTTGGACGAGCCGGAGGAATTCAACAGGCAACGCATGCACAAGTTCCCTATTTGGTTAATTATAAAGTAAGGCCGCTGACATCTCTTCCCGTCCTTTTATTCACAGTCGCTGACCGTGTCTCTACGCAGGTACTACTGGAAGCGCCTGGTTCGGCCCCCTTCTCCTGCCCTTCGCATGTCCTTTTAGCTAACTATAGCAGCTTGTGGTCTCTCTGATTTGGTTCATCTATGATTTTTCGTCCTATTCGTTCGGCATCTATTCGTCCGAATGGCTTTCAATCATCCTGGGCGACAGCGCTCCTCTCTGGAAGACTTTTGGGTGGAGCACAGTCACCAATCTTTTCTACATCCCAGGTGCTTTTTTGGGTGCACTGACGAGCGACTGGATCGGTCCGCGCAACACGCTGGCTCTCGGAGTTGCCCTGCAGGGTATCGTCGGCTTTATCATGGCGGGCTGCTACGTATATCTTCGGGAGGCAAAAAATGTTGCTGCATTTGTCGTTGTCTATGGCATCTTCTCATCCCTCGGTGAATTCGGACCTGGGGACAACATCGGTTTATGTGCTGCAAAGACCAGTGCAACTTCCATCCGTGGCCAATACTACGCGATCGCAGCCGCATTTGGCAAGATAGGCGCTTTTGTTGGCACTTATGTGTTTCCGATAATCCAAAATAACGCTCCCAATGCCGTGCGCCAAGGACAAGATCCTTACTTTGTCAGCAGCTCGTTATGCATCTTCAGCGCATTCCTGGCCTACTTCATGCTGCCACATATTGGACAGGTATGTTCTTGACTCGACCATGGCCTTCGCCGCTGTCATTCCAGGACAAGTCACTGATACCGCTTCTTAGGATACAATTACAGAAGAGGACGCCAATTTCCGTGCTTACCTCGAAGCTCAAGGTTATGATACCTCAACTCTGGGAAACGACCGTCCACAACATTGATCCATCTTCTGTTTGCTTTACTTACCGTTCAGCATCGTACCGTCGGCATACCGTCATCGCCCATCAATCTGCCCATTGGCTGAGGCCCATTTCCCTTTTCCAGCCCTCTACTGCAGCCAATATCTGAATAATTCGCCCGCAACACTCAAGAAATGGGGCTTAGCCACGAGTTCGTTAAGATTGGAAAGACCACCGTCTCCCCCAAGCGACCTGCCAGCCAGTTACTTCGAGCCCTGAGCAGCGTAATAGCCCAATACCCAAAAGAAAGTCTGTCGGTAGAAAACGCTGTCCCTTGCTGACATATCCATGGGTTGACTCGGCTGCGTAGCCAGAGACTTGCGATTGTCCCTTGCCCGATGTACTATACCTCAAAGCATTGGTTCCAGAAAAATATGGACTCAATTAATGTCACCACTTTGAAGTAGTCCGTATGCCGTTGGTTTGGGTTCTGTCAGCTAACATCACTTGCATGCGCTGACCTGAATCAGTCAATGCTGATAACAAACATGTCACATCCAGAGATGGACAGCATGAGTGAGCCGAAGTAGAACTACATGCCGACGCCTGCTGGCATAATACCTAGCATCTTTCTGAATTCTTTTTGTCTATGACGCAGATATGATTACGCGTGTTGTACACTGTTTGACGAAAGCGAGTATCGTGAAACATAGATTAATTGTTTGATAGCTTCGGTTCACAGCTCGGAGTGTGGTTTCCATACTCCGTTTCTCCACAAGACCAGGTGCTTTGGATGAACCGAGGTTGATGGTGACAGACGGCGGGTGCATCCCCGGGGGTTCATTTGCCGACCGTGATCCATCCTCCCCCAGACGCCATTCCGTATCCTTCCTACTAATTTCTCCCCGTCTTCCTTTATTCTTCCTTTGTTTGTGGGGTTTTCGTCTTCGTCTTTGCTATTTCTCTTCATCAATCTCGCTTTTGATCCTACCAGCTGGCCTGTCATCTTCTTAGTGGCACCTTACTCTCCCAGAGACCGATAGTCGGAGTATTCGCCCTGGAGTAGAACGTCGAGAACGCTCAAGTCTTCATATTTCCAAAATGGTTGCAGACGCTCTGGTTTATCATCCTGCTTTGGCGCACTACTTGCGCTTTGTCGCGACAACTGGTAAGTCATTATCCTGCACCCTGATCAGGAGAGGGCAGCGGGCGTAAACGCGGAACAATAGTCGACATGCCGTTGTCTCCTCTAGCGACCATGTTTGAACACCCTCAAGGAAGAGACGGTCACTAATGATCTACAGTCGGTCGGGACAAGATCCTGCGTACTCTGCAATACTTCTCCCGCTTCTACGCCTGGTACCTTTACCGCACTAATCGCCCCCAGTCCGCCATCGATCCCTACAACGCCATCAAGAAGCAGTTCGGCACAACACGAAAGATCCTCAGAATTGGAAAATTCGTGGAGCACCTCAAGGCTGCCGCGCTTGCCGCTGACAACAAGAGTCCCATCGATCCTGTGCTTCGGTATCTCGCCATCGGCCGCCAGCTCGGTTATGCCGGTTACCTGACTCTCGATACCATCACTGTTGTCGACGTGATCGGTGTTAAGAAGCTTGCTGCGGCCAAGCGGTTGCAAGAGTCTGCCTACCGCTCCTGGATGGCGGGATTGGCCTGCAGCGCCGTCGCTGGAATTTACACTTTGTGGAGGCTGCAAGAGAAGGAGAAGACACTCGACCGTAAGGAGGGAGAGGGTGTCGTAGAAGCCAAGAAGCTCGAAAAGTATGTGATCTGACCTCAATATTGTTTAATACTCATGGTGTACTGACGGCTATCAGGGAACGTGCCGCCGCCCGTATCCAGCTGATCTCCGACCTGTGCGACTTGACCGTCCCCATCTCTGCGCTCGGCCTCGCCTCCCTCGATGACGGTATTGTGGGTATTGCCGGTACTATCAGCAGTTTGATCGGAGTGTGGGCGCAGTGGCGTAAGACCGCATAGATGAATGCGATCGATTGCCGTTCCCATTGAGCGGATGAAGTCATCTCCTGAGTGAGGTACGGAGTAGTCTTGACTTGTTCAGCCAAGATTGCGCGAGTCATACACGTATGGATTTAAGTCCATCGTGTCCGAGCAGTGTGATGAGTGTTTGAGGGCGAGGAAGTTCCTCACCTGAGACTATTTTTTATTCACAATTTTGGGCTTCTTGAGCTCAGTTTGACGCTTGAAGCCACGTCCCGCGACTCTCTGTCTTTCACGAACGTATGTAACTTTTTATCGAATACACCTTTTTCTTTCGTGCTACATAGTTATCAATGATATGCCTTAAGTCTGATACCTTGTCTCCTGGTGATCGTTGCCTCAGCCTTGAATGATATATTTCGCTGTTGCAGGGATCTATCAGGTCTACTCCATAGACAGATGCAGCTTTTCTTATGTTTTGCCCGCATCATCTGAACCGGGATTTTCACATGCGGATACTTGCGTTAAGGCCTGAGGTGTCGACGGGTACTGGCGGCGGATGCCAACATTGTTTGTGTGTATTGGAGTTACTCTTTTGTCACTACTTTATTCTCACCTGTGTCACTGTCAATTGGATGCGATCATATTGATTTGAGCACTGACACAATAATTATTTGAAGTTGTAATACCACATGTGATTCTAGGTTCTTTTTCCTCATCGGGGTTCTAAGAGTGGGACGCGAAAAGGATCACTCAGGGACAGACAGGTCACATTGGCTGATTGCTATTGCAGGCTATCGATAATCAAGCAGCTCCATCATATAGTTTCATTTTTCGGTGACTAGTGACTAGCCAATTGAAGGTGAGGCGTCATGTCTTTGCTGATAATGGTTAGAGCGACGCTGATAGACTCAAGCTCGTGTTTCACTCTCGGCATGCCGCAACTAGTATGTCGAGTATGTCGGATTACCACAGGACGGGCCATAGACGACGATGAAGCATACCAGCTCAAGAGCTTCTCGACCTCTGGGGATTTATCGGCCATTCTCCACGACATCTCGCCTTCGTCCTTACTGGAATAATGAGGACCGATCCTGCAGGATCCGTCATCGACCCCCGTAGCCCGTCGATCAGTCTCATTTGGTGCAGCCAAGCTTTATGTGGCCAAATAGTTCGTCCTGCAAGGGCCAATATATGACCCACTCAAGCATGCAATTACCCAGCGGGCCTTGTTTGAAGGCAGGCAACAATACAAAGGGATGCATAACAATGACGGGCTCAAGCTGGAATCCTTATCGATGCCTATCCCTTGCCACCTGTTCCGGAGGCTTCCATCCTGCCAAAACTTCTACATCTGTCCTGAAAGCCATTCTAGCGAGTGTTGACAGTTTTGAGGACTTACTAGGTCAATGAAGCTATCAGCAGACTGGGCTTCTGTGCGCAAGCCTTGCGAGACTTGTCTAGAGAGTTGAGGGCATTCTGTCTCTCTACGATCAACCCACCCGATCTGTCGTTGTGCGGTCGATCTCGAGGAAGGATGTTACACCCTATTCTCGATATTGATAACTTCAACGTTGTATTGGCGGTAATAAGTATGGACTTTTCAAGGCAATTGATGGACGATTGTCGCTGACTCACTATCAATCAAAGGCACATACATCCTCCTGTTCGGATTCATATCGCTGAAAATCAAACAAAGATGGTACCTGGGTGAAGCTTGTATGTTTGCTTTTCCCGTGGGTTCTATTATTGCTGATTATGATTAGTGCCTGCTTTCCTAACTGGCATCGCTTTTGGACCGGCTGCGGCGAGGTTTCTCAAAGTTTCTCAATGGGCCGGTGACGATGGCGATGGAGACCACGATATCACTTACGTACGCTCTACCTGATTCGGTGGTTCTATCTGGGTGACTGTATGCTGACTTGCCTAGGATTTGGCTCGCCTGGTCATCGGCATCCAATTAGTCAAAGTTGGATATCAATTGCCGAGGAAATATCTGAAGGAACGGTTCAAGGAGATGACCATCTGCTTGCTTCCACTCACTGCCATCGGTTGGCTTGCGACGTCTGGATGCATCATGCTCATGATTCCACGTATTTCCTTTGTGCGTCGGCCTCTGTCATCCGTCGTTGCAATCTATCACTGATGTTCGCGAACAGCTATCTGCTCTTATAATCGGCTCCTGTGTAGCATGCACAGACCCGATCCTATCTCAAGCCATTGCCAAGGGCCCTTTTGCTGACAACTATGTTCGTCGCCCTCTCCGTGAATTCATCTCGTCCGAGGCTGGCGGTAACGACGGCTTTGGCTTCCCCTTCCTACTACTGGCTGTGGCCCTTTTGCGATACGCCGAGGCACCTGACAACACAGCCAGTCTGGGAGAGTTTGATTTGGCAAGGGGGATCCCGGATTCGCTGGGCACGGCTGATATCGGACGTTTCGGCGGTGGAGTTACCCGCGCTTTAAGGCACTGGGCTATCGAAGGCGTGCTCTATATGATGGTATTGGGCTCAGGATATGGTGCGCTCATAGGCTTCATAAGCCGCAAGCTTCTCAACATCGCTTCTAAGAGGTACGAGACGGATGACGTGCTTTCGAGACCTCCGCTTATCTCTGAACAGGAGATGGATCGATAACGAATGTTTCGCCCTCATGCCTGTGGCTATCGGGGTAAGTTTATTCTAGTTGGTAATAGAACTTACTGACAATCTTATTTAGTTATTCATTGCCAGCACGTGCGGCTGCTTCGGCTCCGATGAGACGTTGGCTTGTTTCGTGGCCGGGAACGCACTGAACTGGGACGGTCTGTATCACACCGAGTCGCAGGCACGGCATGACGCCTTCAACTCGACGCTGGAGACGCTGCTGAATTTTGGGATCTTCATGTACCTCGGCGCGGTGATGCCATGGGATCAATTTCATATGCCGGACACGACGGGCATCACCGTATGGCGGCTGATCGTATTGGGATTTTTGATCTTGCTTTTTCGTCGTATGCCGGCCATCCTACTCGGGTACCGGTTTATGCCGGAGGTGTGCAGTAACTGGAAGGAAGCCTTGTTCATGGGATACTTCGGGCCGATTGGTGAGTCTTGACGCTGTGGCATAAGGCCTGAACTAACGGACGTGAGCAGGTGTAGGGGCGATTGCATATGCAGAATATACTCGCCGATTATTCCCAGCCCCGGGGAGGAGTGATCGAGAAATCAACGACTTGACTGCTGCCATCTCTCCAGGTATGGTGTCCGTCTTGCACCGAGAGAAAGTGGATGTTCTGACGTTCCCTTAGTTGTGTACTGGCTGGTTCTATTTTCTATCATCGTCCATGGCCTGTCCGTCCCCGCGCTCAACGCTCTATACAAGATATTCAAGGTCCCCTGTATCTGCGATCACCCGGTGGAAGTCGTCCTCCTCTCGGAGAACGAGCCCCTCCCGAACAACAGTACAGTCGAACCAGGGCGCCACTCTATAATCCTGAAAAACCGCTTTTCCCGCGCACCAGACGAGGAAGCGCAAACGCGACGATTCTCCCGCGATGATACAGAGGCAATACTGAGACAGAGTGAAGAAAGTGCGGATCGACCCTGCACGCAAGAGTCGATGCAAAAAGTCGACCGAGCAGTTGATACGAGGGATATGGTTTGATTATCACGTTGTTCTTACGATAGACAGTTTATTTAGAGTCGCTACTCATAATGAGAAACAGAGAACTTCATTCCTATCATTCATCATAACATCATGCACGGTGCCGCCTCTCCCATCTGCAAACAAACTCCACAGTCCACCACCCTAGCGAGTTCGCGCAGGAATTCAAACAGGGCAAGTCTATCGCCGTCAGCCATACACCATACATCTGGCCATGCAGATTGCAGGATATACCTTTCCACAAGAAGAGCAAGTCTTATTCTCACCCGAGATGGAAGCACCACAGGAGGGACAAGCGTTGTGACCGGCCATTTTGAGTTGCGGGGATCTAGATCTGAAGATCAAAACCACGGGTGAGGTTAGCTTGTTCGGACTCTCAATACAGCAATGCAGACATACCTTGTTGATGAATGCTTGAATAGTTTGAGTACCTTTGTGGTTGAAGATGAGTCTGGAAAGGTAAGTAGTGAAGAATCAGAAGAGGTAAGATAAGATGCGTTTGTTTTGCTTGTACCCCGCCGGCTGTGAGTGAGTGCCCCGCCTTGGGTGCTTGTGGTGATTGGTCTGTAGGAGTCGTCCAGTGGGCAGCTGATTGTTTCTGACTATCTCACAGGTGTAGAGAAGATGTAAGGGAGGATAGCATGTGACTATGATGACTAGGAGTAGATGAGGGTGGTATTATGTGCAGATAGTGAGCTTCGGTGATTTACACTGTAGTTGTGTATGGTTTGGATGGGTTGTATCCTCTAAATATATATCCATAAGGCAGTGAGGAGTTGTATAGATAGCAAGTGGTATGTGAACAGACACACTGTAGGAAGTTGATATACCTTGATCGAGTCAGCGTCTTTTTAACATGCAACGATGAATCACTGCTATGCCAATGCAAGTCAATCTCCAGCTAACTCCGCAAATTGCCTGTTTAGGAAATCTGTTTGGTATCACTCCCCTCATGTGCAAAAGCATACCACTTTGCGAGAAGGCGTCGTATCCCCAACAGCTTAGATGTAGTTAGGCAATTCCGGGGAAGACTATATTAGACGGCATCGACATTGACCAGCACAATGCATCCCGTCCTACGACCCGACCTCATATTCGGGCAGTCACAGCCCTCGGATCAGACAGGTGCTAATCGATGAACTGAGAAAGAACAGCTCGGTCACCCGAAGCAAAGCCAACGTGTCAAACAGACTCCATTCAGTGGATATATCAACCCGGTTGGAATTCGGGATCGGGAGGATGCCATTGCTACTATTGGATCATGCTATGGGGATATGGGTGGGTTTCTTATACTCTGCAGAGTTGCTGGAGCTTGGCGTTCTGGAGAGCTGCGGTTTACCCTCTTGACGAGATTGGGTTTCCTTGAAGGAAGAATATCATTGTTGAAAACATCATTAGGACTCGATTGTAGGAGTTGAGTTGTTCGGGGATGAGCTAGGAGCAAGGGAGCTGAATAGTACTGTTCAGAACTGGTCTGGTGACTCCGAACAAGAACTGCAGTCACGAGCGCAAGCCATCTTCTGCAAAAAAGCCTACCATGAGGATAGAAAGGGAATATCCGAGCACCAAATGCTCGGAATGGCCGAGTTGAGTCTATTCCTTCGAACCCGTGATAGAAAAAAGCATACTCCGTCTTCATAGTCGATAGATAGTCGAGGCTATTCTTAGATCCCGAAATATCGGATTGCGTCGGAGCTTGGAAGTCTCAGCTCCGTTGTAAGCCTGTGAAAATTCCTGACGAGTTACCAAACCCCCGATAAATCAGAGAAAAAACCAATTGCGCAACTATTTTGTGCGACATGAGGCATTTTTTCGATGGGAACATTCAGAATTCGATTCTTGTTATCAAATAGCTTCCTAAATCTTCCGCATTTGGAACAGACTGTCTCCACTTGGCATGCCTACCCAACTGCACAGCCCGCTTGTTCGAAATTGATAGATACCTCGATTGTTTGAAGTTAGGGGCTTTGAGCACTTCTAGACTCTTGCTTTGCTTCTTTTGATCTCGAGTACCCCTATATTCTCCGATGAGTACAGACCCTATCCATCTAGACACTGTATCGACGGTCTAGCGCTCAATTTCCCGCAGTCAAACAGAACTACTCCTAAACGATCTGAGGTCGGCAATTTTGTCATGATCGTAGCACAGCCTCATATTCAGGGGCAGATATCCCTTTCAGTCATGGCGCAAATAGCTATCTTACCCTTTTCGAGTAGATCACCAGATAACAGCCCCAAGAGTCTAAGAGGTCCGGGGAAGGCCCGCGTGGCCCAGGCGTCCTGCGGATGCGGGGTACAGCAGAAATTCCTGCCTTAGGCTCCCGAGCTCACGCGCCAGAACAGCTGTACCAATGCAGCAAGCATTGTCATTGGAGCTTACCTAGCTTTCGTATCAATGACTCGGTCTCCGTGGGTTTTCACTATGCAGCTCTTGGCTGTGACCCACTGAGTGAGAGCTGAGTCCTACTGTAACTAGAAGTACATTTACTTTAGGGGTTGATAGCGAATTGTAGCCATTGTAGGTCATATTCATTCTCAGCTTCGTAATCTAACCCAAAGGGGAGGAAACATCATGGGGTCTTCGGAAGGCTTGGTCGATCCTAGCAGAAAGCATCTGTTTCTCACGTGGTGCTATGGATTTTCTGCTCCACACTCATCTGGATGCTGTCTCTGTGATAATAATGTTTCCCTCCTGTACTGTCGGTTTCTAGTATTTCGCCGTAACATCGAGAGGTCGAGACTGAAGCAAGCAGAATGATCGGAGTAGTCAGTAAAAAGCTAGTCTTTGGATACGTCAGAACAAGGATGTTTGTTGGCAAACCCTTGTATATGCAATTACGCCGTACTTGCAGTTGCATGCCCAAGAAACCAACGATAATCAAGTCGATTCCCTTGTGAAATTTAGTTCCTTTGAGGCGAAAAATCAAAAATGAGCAAGCGGCAATATCTTCTGCCCATGACGTTGGGATGTCAAATCAAAGCTTGTGATTGGCCTCTGCAACCGGTTTCCCTCGGCTCGAGATGACTAAGGGGTTCGCCTCCTTCCAGGATTGGCATCGTGACCCCAAACTCTCAGTTGGGGATTTCGTCATGATTTTCATTCTGGCCGTCGGGTCGGCTGGTCTGAGACAATTACTGCGGTTTCCTGGACGAAATTATTATGAAAATCCGGCAGAAGAATTAGTCGTGTCTGACAGTACGAGGACAAGAAAAATTTCTATGTTGGTTTCGGAATGGCTTTGTCGCTTTCGTCGTTCTGGACCACTTAAATTTCTATAACAACAATCAATGTTAATGCAATCAACCCAACTATCCTATCCAAGACTAGAGGTATTTTGTCAAGATACGGTACTAGCCGATAAATCTGCACTCCCCGCAATCTGGGCCATAACGAGCTCCTGATCTTTTGCCTCTTGAACCCAGTAGGCCTGGCTGTCCCGCTATTGAGATCATCCAAAACGTCATAACTCCATTTGACCGTCAATGGACTCAAGTTCAGTACTGCGTAGAGACAGAAAATAGCAGAGAGAATATACTTTGCCAACAAGCTGGGTGGAATGGTATCATAATAGCTGCAAGACTGGTTCTGTATGTGCAGACTCCAAATAAATTTGCTGCGTTCAGCTGCTGGAATGTAGTCAAGAGCTGCACTCTGCGGTCATTATTGGGAGCCCGAGAAAACACTCGCAATACAGTACTGACTAAACTACCGGTAGACTACTACGGAGTACCTGCATTACTCTCGCCTCGTCACTCTTTGCCCTTCTTACAACCCCCTCGCTGAATCTCAGCCCGACGCATCTATCCGTGCGTTTTGTCCATTATCCACGAGTCATCGAGAATAATTTATTCCTTTCCCGATCAGTCCTCCTTGCAGCGCTAAGTAAGTCGTCTTTGATTTTCTTTTACTCTTGTTGGTTGGTGGTCCCAGCCAGTTGTTCCGTAACCATTTCGTGCCCACATCTGGGGTTCGGGTCAACTCGGGCAATCTATGAGAGGCATTTTTGTTCACTCCACGGCTAACCATCATCGCTGCAGACTCGTTCCTCAACCCCGACATCACCCGCGGAACTGTGGAGAAGAATATCGGATAGTATCCTTGAAACTGTCCTTGAGACCTGTATCATCGTGAACATGGCTCCTGCTGAGAACATTCATATACCCCGTCCTTCCCGCCCCGAACCAGGTCCTCTCTACTCTGATTTCTTCGAACAACAAGTCGCAAAGCAGCGCAATAATAATTATCATTCGACTTCTCTAAGAAACATGGTTGCCACATCAGTTAATCGCACTGCTCTGCACCCCGGTGGTGTTCAGTATGTCTTCCTTATCTGGCTTGCTGCCTTGTGTATCCCCTAACTGCCCTTGTCACTCTCCATCCGTGTTCATGTTCTCTTCTTGTCTACCCTCATCGAGCCACACTTCAACACAAGCAAAGTGACCTCCCTTTCGCTAACATATACTTCTACCAGGCCGGGCAAGAGCCACACTGAACTGGAGGAGGAGCTCCACGAGCACGCCCACATTGATTACGAGCGTGTCGCAATCGTAAGACACCCCTCAGGCCTAGTTGCATCCCACTTTGCGATGTACTAATCGTCCTAGATTGCCAATCCTTCCGTCGCTGCCCTCTACGAAGATGCCCTCGTCTATGAAACAGGTACTGCCATCACATCGAGTGGTGCCTTGACTGCATACTCTGGTGCCAAGACCGGCCGTTCTCCTTCAGATAAGCGTATCGTCAAGGAGGAGTCGTCAGAAAAGGACGTTTGGTGGGGACCTGTTAACAAGCCTATGACACCTGATGTAAGTGATATCTTTTCATTTCAAATCGCGCATAGTCTACTATATCGCGCATTCTTCTCGTTGTTGCCCCTTGCAGTGGATTTCTTGCAGCACTCCCGGGGTCCCCTGCACATGCATACCAAAGGGGTCAAGCTTTTTTGGCAGCACAGGTGTGACATCAACTCATTTTCTGGGAAATGCCTCAAATGCCTCGTATCCCTTTTGAGGATGTATATGAGGCATTTATTTCACATGCATTTGTGAAACAGAAAACTGCAGCTTTGCCTGAATTTGTGTGGTCCCGTGCTCCTGGTCAATTCTTCAGCTTTCTCCGCATTCCCCCGCCCTCGGCTCAACTTTCGATCACGTGCATTACATCACCACATTTTATATCGATAGGGCTGATGACTAACCAACTATTGTTAGGTCTGGCGTATCAACCGTGAACGTGCTGTTGACTACCTCAACACTCGTAACCGCATCTATGTTATCGATGGTTATGCCGGCTGGGATGAGAGATATCGCATCAGCGTCCGTGTCGTCTGCGCACGCGCCTACCATGCTCTCTTCATGCGCAACATGCTGATCCGCCCCTCCCGCGAGGAGTTGGAGCACTTCCACCCTGACTACGTTATCTACAACGCCGGTTCTTTCCCTGCCAACCGTTTCACAGAGGGTATGACTTCAGCTACGTCGGTAGCTATCAACTTCGCCGAGAAGGAGATGGTTATCCTGGGTACCGAGTACGCCGGTGAGATGAAGAAGGGTGTTTTCACAATTCTTTTTTACGAAATGCCCGTGAAGCACAATGTCCTGACCCTGCACTCCTCGGCTAACGAGGGTGAGAACGGCGATGTG